TATTTATTTATTTATTTATTTATTTATTTATTTATACATAAATAAATACGGAGTTGTACAACGACTGGCAATACATAGACCGAGCGACTATTTTGATATACGCACAAAGAAACCACTGACATCAGGAAACCTGCTGTGCAACAAGCCTAGCCAGCAGCAGCATCATCATCAACTACAAAGAACAACAAAAAGTAAAAAAGAACCATTAACTGCTCCTAAAATCAAGGGCTTTTTCCGTTAAATATCATAAAAAACTCAACTCACTCCCTTTTCCTTCGTCGTCTTCTTCTTTAGGCACAGAGACAGAAAGGCAACGAAGCCAGACACCGTACAACGGTAGTTAACCAAGAAGCAACAGTTAAATTGAAATAAAAATAAGAGCAAAAAAATTAACTACAACAACGGCTGTCTGAAAGAAAAACCAGAAAAGGAATTCGAACACTAGGTGAGTGGTTGTGTGAATCACCACCGGACTGAGTGATGGAGCCAGTGGCTGAGTGACTAGATGGGCGAGCGAGTGAGACCGCAGCAGCAGTCACTGGGCTGACTGCAATCGAATTCATCGAAACAAGTCAGCGAAAAACTGTATTAATGCCCTCAGCACAGTGAAAATGTTCATTTGCAGACCGTTGCTTGCCATGAAACACAATTAGAATTCATTGAAGCCACCATCGCTGTTGTTGTTGTACTCTTGCTACTGCAGTTAATTCACTGGGGACGATACCGAAAAAGCGGCGATCAACAGCGACAGATGATAACATTTTTTGATCTGCTACCTAAGATTCAAAGGACATTTGGAAGAATTTGGTAGCTGGCTTTTCGTCACTCTGGCGTTACAGTTAAGGTCCTAACTTAGTTTTCAAAAACTCCCATCAGCTTGTGAAAATGGTCATTAAGGTGAAATAAAAATTAACTTCAATTTCTCTACACTACAAAGAGGAAAATTTCTTCTTCAATGTTATACGGAGCTTAAAGTTTGATAAGACACTTAGTTTTGAACGTTTTTAACAAGTACACTGTAAAACTTGATTATCGCGCTATGTGTCGTGCGTGTTTGCTGATTCAGACTCATAAATGCAATAAACATGCAAAAGCTTTTATAGTTAGGTAATGGAACGGAAGAATAGAAAACTGTAACTGAGGAAAAAAATTTTTGATCAGTAATAATTCGGAAATGAAAAAATTGAATTTCTTCTTTCCAGTCAGCTGTGGCAAAAAAATTTCAATCACTGTCAACTGCATAAGCCCAGTGACATAACACCAAAACAATTAACTGTGACAACTTTCCATACTTCTATAGTTTCCGTCTATAGTAATATCTTTGCTGTTATCAGTCTTACTAACAAGAAAAATCAGCGTACTAAAAAAATAAATTTTTTTTCATTGG